GTGTGTGTGTGTGTGTGTGTGTGTGTGTGTGCTTGCTATATCAACCAAATATAACAACAACATCGGCATGACTATAGTTTGACTGCTTTGTTTCTCTGTGGAGTTAATATAGAACTTTCAGTGACAAATGCACCAAGCGTGTTGTTGCGACTGTTATGGTTCTTTTCCTTTCTTCCTGCTGTTTCTGTTAGTCTGTCCAACTTTCACCCCAAACTATACGACTCTTGTTGTGTCCAAGTCCATGTGCTTCTCTTTATTCGAACAAACGAAACAAATTACAACCAAAGCACAGTAACGTCAACAAAGATTGCGTCTCTGCATTATTTATTAGCATTGTCGCCTCAGCTTTCACTTTTTCTGTGCGTGTTACTTTTCACACCGCCAACTGTCGCGGTATCCACTGACTTTCTTCCAAACATGTACCAGCTGCTGTTGTCCCTTGTGTCCCCCTGTCCCTCTGTCAGAACCGCCGGGGACAATACAATGACATGTCATATAATCACAAACACAACACCATGAAAAGTTCCAATATTTTCTGCGTGGCCACACAGAGCTACCAGCCGACAGTGGTTGCCACCTCCGCTGAAATCAATTGATAACCATCGAAACACCTGCAATTTCTACTTACTTTTTGCAGTATTTGCGAGCCGAGGGCTTTTATGAGATTTGGAGCCTCGTGTGAAGAATACTCCGGCAAATCGGCCAAAAACCTGTCAGAAACGTGCTCAACAGTGTGCTTCGCCTGGGGATAGAATTTAATAAGTAGATGGTGCGTTAAGTAAAAAAGTTATTGAGCTTATTGAGCTTTTCGATGATTTCAAAGGCAAATGTTTTACTCCCCGTCAGTGTTCGGACCCCTTGGTTAAAGAGGAGCACTGTTTTGACACAGCTTCTCGATGTTGAATGAATATCTTTAACTCACCTAAGACGATAAACTGAAACACACTAAGGTGACTACTGAATTCTTTTACTGGTCTTACAACGATACCTTACAATTTGACATGAAAGGGTCTAAGCTTTCTAGCTCTTCTTGATGCTAAAGGGATTACGTCATGAGAGCAATAGACATAAGGTCATATATGAGCGCGCGGGACACATTAAACATTTTTAGTTGGTAGGAAATTTTGAATTTTGCCCGGGGTGGCGGCCGAAGCCTACTCTAATCGATTTAAGACCACCAAGGGATCTTTAACCGTATTTAACGTGCGCAACTTGCACACGGGTCCTCCGAGACTTTTCGCCCTTGTCCGAGAAAGCTAGGTGTACATCTTTCCTTCCAGGAGATCAGGGGGTGTGGCGAAAAGACAGCAGTATGTAGGAGCCAAGTAATAGCAGTAGAAAGTCTGCAGAAAGAGTCAGGAGCTCAGGGGAGGAAGCAAAGGAGGTGAGGAGGTGGGGGTAGAAAGTGGAGGCCAAAGCAGACGACAAATCATAACTAGAGTGCAAGGAAGGAGGTGAAAAGAGACAATTTTAGAGAAGAAAAAATTTCCGTCGCTACCCGGATTCGAACCCGGGACCTTTGAAAGAGAGGCAAACACCTTAACCTCTAGGCCACGAGAGCCCCCTAATATGGTTCAATGTTACAAATGTACATAAATAAGGTTTACAAGCTAAAAGAAATCTAGTGACGTAATCTCAAATCAAACCGAGCTGAATGTAATGTAATGCACCTTGGTCCAGGAGAACTCTTTCCCGGGGACTGGCTCCATACGGTACGTGTTTGCCGTCTTAGTTTTCACGTTTGCCGCCATGCGCATTAGAAAGGACTGCCGAGGTAGACCCAGTGAAAGTCGGCGAAGCTGAGCCGCACTAACGCTGTCAGGGGTAAAGCCAGTAAAAGAGATGTCAAAAGTCTCATTGAAATTTGTCGGCGAGCGCTGGTGCGCAGAAAAAAAATCATCATTGAACTCTCTTACTCGTCC